CATTTGGGTACCTGTTTTCTATGTCTTATGTCTTCATTCCTTTATTTCTCCATTACTTCTTGGTTTTGCATTGTATATTTATTTTTAGTATAAATTTTTTATTTCTTCTTCTATCTTCTACCTTATTTTTCTTATTTTCTTAGTTACCCTGAAGATTATAATTATCATCCTAACTTAATGTAGCTCAAATTAATACCAACTTAATTTCAATATAATTCAGAAATTTTGCTGAAATATATCACCTTTTCGTAGCCCCTTGTTAGTGCTATTCTTGTTATACCCATTACATCTTTACACATTATAAGCCCTTAAAACAGTTTTATATTTATTGTCTCATACTCTTTTCATTAAAATCAGAAAGCAGAATTCCTTTTACTTCAGCCTGAAGGACTCCCATTAGTATTTCTTTTTTTTTTTTTTTAAAGATTTTATTTATTTGCCAGAGAGAGAGATAGTGAAAGCAGAACACAAACAGGGGGAGTGGGAGAGGGAGAAGCAGGCTTCCCTCCGAGCAGGGAGCCCGATGCAGGGCTCGATCCCAGGACCCTGACATTTATTGACTGAGCCACCCAGGTGCCCCTCCCATTAGTATTTCTTGTAGGGCAGTTCTGCTAGCAATGAATCTTTCTCAGTTTTTCTTTATTTGTTAATTTCTCCTTCATTTTTGAAGGACAGTTTTGCTGTATACAGTGTTCTTTATTGACAGCCTTCTTTCAGCACACTGACTATATCATCATCCCATTGCCTTCTGTCCTCTAGGGTTTCAGATGGGAATTCAACTGTTTAATTTTACTATGGAACGACATAGGTGTTGAGTCAATTTTGTCTTGCTGCTTACCGTGCCTTGGCTTACTGAGAGTTTGACTATTATTTTCTAGTTTTGGATTGCCTTGGGTTTATTCTGAATAACATTTTTTTAGACTTCTTGGATGTGTAAATTAATATTTCTCCCCAAACTTGGGAATTTTTCATCATTTATTTCTTCGCATTTTCTTTCTGCCTCTTTCTTATCTTTTCAGGATTCTGATTAGGCTTGTGTTTGTATGCTTAATGGTGTCTCACGGGTTTCTGAGGCTGTGTTAATTTTTTGTCATTATTTTCTCTTTCTGTTCTTTAGAGATAATCATTTTATCTGGCCCATTGTCAGGTACACTGGTTTTTTCTTTTGCCACTGCAAACCTGCTGTTTAGTCCCTCTAGTGATTTTTTATTTCAGATATCGTACTTTTTAAGTCCAAAATTTATAATTGGTTCTTTTGAATGATTTCTCTCTGTATTAGTATTCTTTATTTGGTGGGACATCATTGTCTCTCATAGACAGGGTTGAAGACCTTTCACGTAGTTTGGGGATCTAGCAAGCTATTTCAACCTCTCATATCTTCCTTTGATGTTTTGGCAAGCTCTTGTTTGATCCAACTGCTGTAGGAACCTCAGGTACAATTGCTACTGATTGTTTTCAGCAAACATCCTGGATATTGCTGTTTTCCTTTGAGTCAGGTCAGTAAAGATAACACCTTGCAAACTGAATTTTTCTAGGGAGCTGTGAGACAGATGAAAAAGTAACAATACTCAGGGATGAGACTTTTTTTGATGAGCTCCAGTCTCGGTCTGTGCCCTCATGTGGCTGTAAGTCTGCCAGATTTTACAACTACCTTAGTTGCAAGGCTGCTGGTTTTCAAGGCTACTACAGAGCAGTGGAAAGATGGGAATGACAACATAATAAAAGTTACAAGGCCACAAACTCTGCTGTTCTTATCATCAAGGTGTGTGTGTGTGTGTGTTTTTAATAAACACTACTCAAATTGTTGCAAGCCTTTCATTAATTAACCAGAGCTCTGAAAAAGTTAATTTTTACAATCTTTTCCAGTGTTTTTATTGCTTTTATAGGGTAGTGAATGTGTGATGGTTCTAACTCTGCCATTTCTTGCCTTTCTTTTTCTGGTAGCCTGGTTTTATTATTTGAAAAATAGTTTTTGTTTTAGATTAAACTCTTCCTTCTCAAAGTATGGTCCTTGAATCAGCAAAATCAGCATCACCTGGGAGCTTGTTAGACAGTGTCAGGCCCACCCCAATCCATTTGAGTCAGAATCTGCATTTAACATCTCCAGAGGATTTTTTTGTACATTAATGTTAGAGCCTTGCTGGTCTAAGCCAAGATTGTTCAAAGTTTAATCCATATATAAGCTATTTAAAAAGCATCTGGAGAGCTTGTTTTAAACAGAGGCTCCTGGAACCCTTGCCAGACTTAACTAAGTCAGAATTCATGCAAATAGAGCTTGGAAATATACATTTTGACCAAGCACTGCAGATGTTTATAATACACACTGAAGTGTGAAAACCGCCAATTTAGAAGCTACAGTAATCAAATAGGATTTTTTTCCATTTTAATGGCAGTTTGTATTTCATTTTTATAGTTAATATTTCTCTTTTAAGGAGGACATCTTCAATGTAATTAAGCAGGGACTTTTCAAATGCTATTTTTCTCAAAATGGTACATGCACCATATACAAAAAACCTAATATTTACTTTATTGGTTTAGTCTTTTTATTTGTGTGTAAAATTGTATTATCCTTGTGACTGTTCTTTAGCCAGAACAAATTATGACCCATATAAATTGCCCTGAAGATTCACCTTGGATTTATTGAAATATAAAGAAACATAGTAAATTTTTTCTGCCTCATAATTTTTTGAGATTTGAATGAGAATTTAGTGCCTTAATTTAAATTAAAATTACCCTCTAGAGAGGAATTCTTCCTACATTTGCCTAACTGTAACTTTAAAATGATATAAGCAAATCTGGTAGTCTGATACATGTCTTACATAGTTCATAGTTTACATTTTCCTACAGTTAATTTTGTCTGTTTAAAAATTTTTAGTATTTAATATTAATATAATTCCTTACAATCCTTATATGAAACTATCAGAACTACCAACTTAAAATAAAAGGACAGAAAGTGACATTAGCTTTGTCAGTGAGCAAGAATTCCTATCCCCTTTAAGGGCCCTTCTAGCTGGACTAAGAATCACATTGACATGAAACAGATTAACAGGAGAAAATCAAATTTAATAGTGTAAGTATGAGGAATCCACCCAGACAAGGAAATTCCAAAGACAGGCAAAATGAGGTATATATGTCATACTGAACTAAGGAGAAGGGGGTAGGAGTCTGGGAATTTAGAGGAAAGGAATGCAGCTCACAGGGGGAGAAGAAAAGCAGATGTTTGGTGATTAGACATTTGCCCTGCCCTATAGATGGGTCACTCAGATAAAATTTATTTCTGCTAATAACCCTTATTCTGGGAAAGACCCCCAATTTAGATTATTCTTTATAATTAAGGGAGAGGCAGAAGTTTCTTTTGAGGCCACAGGGTCTTGATTGCCTTCAGCTTAAAATAATCTGCACGCCAAAGTGGGACATTTTGGGAGCAGAGGCTATCCTGAACCCCTTCAACATTGAAACATTAGGATGTATGAATGTGTTACATTTTAGTTTTGTATGCAGTTGGATGTGTGTTTGTATGTGTGTTTGTGTTTCAATACTAAAGCATTTGATTTTTATTATTGATCTATCTTTTTATTGTAAAGCTCATATTATGAGATTAATAACTATTACATAATAAAGATTTATTTTATTTTTTTTAATTTAATAAAGGTTTATTTTAATAAATTTTTAGGAAGGAAGAAATTTGCTCTTCAAGATCATTCTAGCTGAGCTAAGAATCTAATTAGCTGAGACAGATTAACAGGAGAAAATCAAATTTACTTTCTTACATAAGGGGAATTCACACACATGTGAAATTCCAAAGAGAGTGAAGCAACATGAGACTTAGATGAGCTAAGAAGAAAGATAGGAGTGTGAGGATACAAAGGGGAGGAAGACCATTAGCAACAAAGTGAGAGGAGATGTCTGGAAAACAGAGGTTGTCCTATTATGCAGATATTTTTCTTAGGTAAAGAGGAATCTCTGTTAATAGCTCTTTTCCTGGTACAGGATCTGTTTTCCAATGAAAATTTAGTAAGTTGAGAGGAAGATGAAGAGCTTGACCTGAATCTGCTAGTTTTTGATTGCTTTTAACTCAAAATAATCTTCACACCAAAGTGGCCCATCTTGGTGTAGCCTGCATTTGGCCCCTACAAAATCAAGTTTGAATAAATCTGTTATTAATATTATACAGATTCTCTTCAACTCTACACATAGAATTAGGCATTCCTGACATGACTCTTCATGACATCTTTCATCCACATCTAGAGGATCATTTCCACACTATCCTCCACTATAATGTGGGCAACCTAAGGCAGAGAGGATAACAGATTCATGCTTGTATTTCCAGCACCTAGTCCCACCTATAACATATAATGGAGTCTCCATAACTGTTTCCTGAATGAATGAGCATTATCTTATAAGAAGGACTGAACTGCTTTGTAATTCCTGAAGATGGCATAATTACTAATGCACTGATTAGCTAGGTATCCATTTCTCATGTCCAGTCCTGAAAGAAACATTCTCTTTTTTGAAAATAAGGTTAGAAATTATGAAATGTATACAGCTCTGACAATACATTGAGACCAGTATATGATTCCATTGTTTCTAGAATATAATTGGGCAGTCATTTATGTTCTCAATTTCCTTGCTATAAGAATTTAGTATTGCCTTTCCATATAATAGAATATTATTTTTTACATATTCCAGATCTTTCCTTTTTTTTTAATCACTACACCCAGCATGTGGCTTGAACTCACAACCCTGAGATCATGGGTTGTATGCTCTACCAACGGAACCAGTCAGGCGGCCTGATCTTTCCTTTTTTGAAAACATATGTTTTGAGATGCAGAATGAGAACATGTGGATTTTTAAACTGTAATTTATGCTGATTCTAATTATATTTTATGAATGATGGAAAAAAATTTAAAAGAATGTTTTGTGGTCATTTGAATTTTGTTATAGTAGAATTTGTTATAGTAGAATATAGTAGAAAATAATCCTTTTTTCATTTATTTTAGTGTCAGGTTGGTGGAATCCTCAACATTTATCTCTTTGCCATCTCAATTAACAGAATCTGGACAATTCATTAACCACATGAACCATGGGTAAATGTGAATATATTTTATGCTCATAATTTTCTCAGGAAAAATTCTAAGAAATTAGCATTCATTTAAACTTGTTATTAATTCTACAGTAGTTTTCATTTATTTGAAATATTTAATTCATGTTCTATATAAAATTTATATTATTCACAGTTATTCTATTCTCTTATGTGTTGCTAGGCTATGTGCATGAAAATTGAATAAATATGCACTTGATTAAATACAGTGGATTCTCATTATTTGTGATAGTTATGGTCCATAAAATTGTGGCACTCAATGAATGAATACTGAACCATTATTCCTAGAAGAAATATTTGTAATCACATAGATTATAATTGGGAATCCTAAAACAACCCATCCTGGTAGAATTCTGGTTTCTTCACATAGAGAAAATAAGGTTCTGTAGTGTTAGTTGTATGAGGCTGACCCACTAAAAGGTGCCAACAAATTGTTTCAAGTTCTGCCCACCTGGCCCCGGAGGTGGAGCTTTTTGAACATTTGTACTTCTGTACTGCCTCCTACCGTCTCCCTCCTCTGATCATGGTCATCTACCTATGAGAACTGAAGCAGAAAGGCCCAGCGTCACCTTGTTTGACCTTAGCTGGGAACTGTGTGACCACTGACGGGAACTTTTTGCCACTCTGCACATGTCCACGAACAACAGGGGAAGCTCCGTGAGTATGGATTTGGGGGTTACAAATCAATTTTAGTGAGGAGACAAATTTGCAAATAACCAGAATTTGTGGATAATGAGGATCAACTGTATTTAGGCTTATTCCACCTACATTATGAGGTCTGTATTTAGTTTTGAAAGAAACTTTGACTTTGGAATACAGAAGCAGAATTTTTAAAAGTTAGATTGTTTTATATTTCTGATCTATTTTAAACTATAGAATAACTATTTAATGTGAAAGAGAATAAAAACAACATTGCCAACATTAAAGAAAATCAGGCAGAAAGAAAATAATGCAAGCATGTATTAGTGAAATGCATGCATATTTTTGTTATTTTTTTATTATGTTATATTAATCACCATACATTACATCATTAGTTTTTGATGTAGTGTTCCATGATTCATTGTTTGTGTATAACACCCAGTGCTCCATGCAGAACGTGCCCTCTTTAATACCCATCACCAGGCTAACCCATCCCCCCACCCCCCTCCCCTCTAGAACCCTCAGTTTGTTTCTCAGAGTCCATAGTGTCTCATGGTTCGTCTCCCCCTCCGATTCCCCCCCCTTCATTTTTCCAGACCTTTACCTCTGAAACAAATAATACACTATATGCAAGAATGAATGAATATGTTGACCATTACTATAACAACTACTTCATAGCTACCATGTTGTTAGTTTATTTTATACCTTTGTGTCTGTGTAATGATTGACAATGACAGTGTCATCCTTTTAGATGCAAAATTGTGTCAGGAGTCAAGGATTTGGCAATTTTGAAACCATAGGAATAACCAATGTTAAAGTCATCAGAAACTCTTAAAGTGATTTGTGCAGATCTTGCCAAAATTAAAAAGAATATAGTTTATTTTCCAAAAGTGAATTTCTATTTAAGCCAATAGTTTTATGAGATTATAAGGATTACATTTATTATGCTTGATTTCTTCATTGGTTGTTCTGTAAAAAAAAATGTTAAAGGAGCACACCATTTTTGTCTCACAGCACTTGTTTTATTGACTGCTAATTACATGCTTAACTAAGGCGTTTGAAATCTTCCTTTTACATTTTGCTTTAATGAACAATAAAATAATGAATTAATACCTTGAGCGATAAAGCATCATTATAGATACCATAAGAATAGAGTATTGTAGGTATTTTATGTTAATTTCTTTGTATTATGAAGTGCTGGTATTGCTAAAAATTCTTCAGTAAACACTTCTCCTAAGTTTTTATCTTTTCAGTCCCTTGCTTCTTGATTAAGCAGCTGTCTGGCATGACAGATTTTTCCTGAATGGCCTTGAAATAATTTCTCCACATTAACTGCAAATAATTTATAGTATCATATATTAAACTGGAGTCAGATCTCAAAGTATTGCTATAGGTATTTGTGAGCATAAGTAACTCAAAGTTGGATCAGCTTAATAAGCAGCAAAATTGAGCCTGCTTTCTCTTTTCTTAAAGGTTTATTTATTTATTTTAGAGAGAGAAAGAGCATGAATGAATGGGGGAGGGGCAGAGGGAGAGGGAGAGAGAGAGAATCCCAAGCAGAAATCCCACTGAGCATGGAGCCCAGTGTGGGGCTCGATCTCATGACCCTGAGACCATGACCTGAGCCGAAATCAAGAGTCAGACGCTTAACTGACTGAGCCACCCAGGCGCTCCAAGTCTACTTTCTTAATTTGGAATGCAATATAGGAATTCTATATCCCAAATTTTAACATGTTTTTCTTCATATAATATTCTGGAATGGTTTTGATTAGATCCAAAGTTTCATAATTACTGAAGCTATAGTTACAGATATCTTTTTTATGTTATGCTTCTCAAATCTAAACCGTAATGGAAATAAACAAGTATTAAGACATTTGTAATTTAATTTTGGTTGGAAAGGACACTTTGCAAGTACTCATCCAAAATAATTGCCAACTCAGCATGCAGTACAGCTGAAGAAGTGTGTCTGTCATGGTCTCAAACATTATTGATCATTCTTTCTCCTATAGTCTCTTCCATTCATATTTATAATACTTTACTTTCTTAGTTCCTTGCTGAAGGCTTCCTTTGATAAAAGTAACATAAAGATATAGTGATATTGAGTATTGGTCAGGGAGAACAGGATCCAACATAGAGTAGTTAGGCTTCTATAGATTAACTCTCAAAGAATGATTCAGAGCCGTTTGTTTAAAGGATTGAGGACTTACTCCTTTGCACCTCTCTGAAGACTGTCTATCAGATCAAAGGTGACAGTGGAACTTAAAAAGGCAAAGGCTACAGTTTTTCAAGGAAAAGAGATGGTCCCTGGTTTGTCACGTCAGCACTGTTCTGGGCTGAATGCTGAGCCCCAAATTCATATGTTGGGTTGAAATAGAACAGTCTTAAGTTTACCCCAAAGGCTGTTTTTCTGACAGTTCTTAAGAGATGTATTAGAACACTTCTTATGGCTCTTTTGGGAGTCCTGACTGCTTGCTGTGTAACACCTCCAGGCTCCAGTTCATGTAGCAGGCAAATCTTTATTCGCTTTCTCAAGGATCAGCTAAAGTATCCAGAACTCCAACAATCAAATCCACTTTATAGGCAGCAGAAAGGAGGAAGCACAATAAGAGTGTGCCCTTTCTTTCTCCGTTAGGGAAACTTCCCAGAAATACCATACAGCACTTCTGCTTATAGCCAGTGGGCCAAATCTAGCTGGAAGGATGACTGAGAAACCACCCTTCTCCACATACACATCACAATAAAACGAGGGTTTTGTCAGTGAGGAGGGAAGGGCCCATGGATACTGGGATAGGCAATCAACAGGTTCCCCCCTGAGGGGACACAAAAGAACGTTTTATTTCGACTAGCACAAAGTTATCTAGTATTTCATCAGTCTGGCTTCATTGGCATGTTGAGGCCTTTTGATCTTTAAATATGTCTTAATGAAATAATACTTAGTAATGTTACACACCCTGTTTTTCTTAAAGCTCTTCTTAATGTTTGTCTCATATAGATTTCCAGATACAAATAAAATTTAAGAACATGCATTCTTAATCATGACCAAAATGGAAGTCTGGCGTAGTACCTCTATGATTAATAACTTTTGTATGTAACATACCATACAATAAGCATTACACTGTCTCAGTAACACCCATTCTGGTCTCTAGGTCTAATCAGCAAGATAACATAAGAGAACAAGAAAAGGTTAAAGAAAATTACTCCCTAAACTATCAGTAATCTCTTTTTAGAGCTCTTAAGAAATATCCCCGTTTTATTCTTTTTAGGCATGTGGTAATGTACTTCCCCAGTTGAAGTTATGTGTGAACATATAACTTAATCAGCCAGTGGCATGTGAGGAAAAGTGCTAAATGTTTTCTCCAAGGGCTAGCTTTAAGATCCAGTGAACAATTTTTCTTGTTCCCTTTCCCTCATACAATTACTAAGGAAGTACGTATAGAAATGGAGTTCCCTTCACCAAGGATCTTTGAGTGCATCCTCTCCACCTAGGATGGACATGTAACATGAGCATGAAGTAAACTATTGTGCTAATCCACTGAGATATGGAGTGTTACTGCAGCATGACCTAGCGTATGCTAACTGATACTCCTCCTCAGATCACTTCAGCCAGTATCTCCCCAAATAACATTCTCTTCTCGAATGAGCAGTACAGTGCTGAAATTATCTTTCAGGTGGCATAAAAAAAGGTAAAGTTTCCTATTAAAATTTTTAAAAATGCCTCTATAAACTGCTCTTCTTAAGCAACAGACACATATAAAACCACATGGATGATAAAACTTTATATTCATCACACATTTTACTTTGCTGGAAAATGATCCGTGAGCGTAAGCAAGAGCAGTTAAGACCTTTTTATTCTAATTAAATCCAAAGGATTACCAGAAAGGATCAGGACAGGACACTGATTTTAGCCACACTTTAAAATTAAATGATGGGTCAGCGGTGCTCAGAAATGAGCACTATGTAAATAATTTCCTACAGTAATATGACTTGCTGTTTTTTCAGCAACATTGACTTATTTATCATTTAATAAATTCTTACTAAGTGGCCCCTCAGGCAGTGTTCTTAGTACCATAGAAATATCAAATAAATAAGTCACAGATCTGGTTCTCAAGGAGCCAACCATCAAGTAGCGAAGAAAAAGAAAATCTACACAAGTGGAGGCAATTGTACAGAGCAGAATGCATTCAGTAATATATGTTGTACCAAAAAAAAAAAAAAAAAAGTTCTGTGAGCTCATTGGCAAGGAATATTACTATCTAGATATAGAGATCTTCCTGGGCTTCTCCTTTCTCTTTATGTATTTTCTTGGAGAATAGCTAATGAAAGTACCTTTTGAATAAGTCACAGTTGCCTTATTCTCAAAGAGACCCTCAAACCCAGAAATACTGAGTTACCTACACTTTTTATGGTAAAGACGGATAGAAAAAAAAATGCAGACCTAGAAAGAGAAGACATTTAAAGAGAATAATGAGGTACTAAGCACTTTTTTCTCACACGTATGCTCTACTCTGCTGTTCTTTATCATATACAAATTGGGATCAGAAATGTGAGTAAGATTTTGATGGCCCGAATCTAGAGCAGGGGAGAACTTTCCTATAAGTATAAAAGGAATGTGGGAAGAAGGAATTGCTGAAGCAGTGGAGGAGGGGACAGGCAAGGGGAAATACAAGACATATGTTTATGCATATGGATTATGGAAGAATGTGAATGAAAGTTGAAAAGGTGTTGAAGTGTTTATCCTTCTGCTTTGTCATTATTTCCTGTAGACTTACTTTGTATGACAGACCATACCCTGTGAGCTTAGGAGCTTTGTCAGTTATCCTTGTCTCCCAGAGTAGCTTGGCCCAGAGTAACCACCCAAATGAAAGAAGGCCCTGGTAGAGATATTTTTCTGGGTCTTGATTCTTGCTAACAACCCAGAAAAGCTAGATTCTGCATGGCCATGATTTTAAGATATTTCACTTTTACCACACTGAATAACTGGTGACACTTAGAATTAGGCAAATCTTCAAGGAACACAGAGTGAATCAGAAGCCAGATGTATGTACTAAGAGTCACAGTCTGTCATGATCCTCTGCTCTACATGAGAGCTTCATGTGTGTTTTTAATGTCATCACAGTCTTTGCCAGTCTGAGGAAGCCTGTTCTACTTCACAGAATAATGTTTTATAAATACTTAAAATAAGATGCAAGGGTTACAGGGTGTCTTTATCTTCCCAGGCTGGAATAACAAAATAACATCGAAAAAGTGGCCTAAACAACAGAAATTTATTTCCCCTAGCTCTGGAGGTTGGAAGTCCAAGGTCAAGGCAAGATAGTTTTCACTTGGAAGCCTCTTCTCTTGACTTGTAGGTGGCAGCCTTCTTGCTGTGGGCTGACATGACCTCACTGTGCATGCATAGAGTGAGCTCCCTGTTGACTTTTCTCATAAGAACACTAATCCTGTTGTATCAGGACCCCACCCTTATGACCTCATTTAGCCTTAATTACCTTCTTATCGGGCCTGTCTCCAAATATAGTCATTTGGAGAATTGGGGCTTTAACATATGACTTTAACGGTGACACAATTCAGTCTATGGCACAGAGGAAACTCATACTCCAGCAGATAATAAAAATTTTTAAAAATTGTATGTTCAAAGACATACTTCTTCATTAACAGAATACACAATAAAAGCTACTGGTGGACATAATAACTACCATACTTTAAAAGTAATTATGAATGTCAATAATAGCTTAAGATATGTACAAGAATTGAAATGTGATATAAACATATCCATGATTATTTGGTGACCAAGTCATATTAAGCTAATGCTACTGTGGTTCGGTTTAAATTGCTATTAAGAGTTAGTGGGAGTCAAGATGGAATTTTTCCCCATTTGAATTCACAGATCTGCTCTGTCCTTGCTCTCCAGGTTGGCACACCTTGTTTTACACACTTCTCAATTGCTCAGGAGCCAAAGAGGTACAAAAAACAGCAAAATCCCACTTGTACTGCCCTCCAGATGGCCACTAGGTCCTTTTTTGAAGAAGCCCTGGACACATGGAGGATGGAGTGAATCTCAAAATTGATCCACCTACATTCCTTCCTGTGATGCATGAAAACTGGTCTTGAACCAGAAAATTCACTCTTTGATTTGGACATTGCTGTGAATGCTTGCCCAAGAGTAGCTTCATTGAAGGCTTGTAATAAAGATCTCCCCTCCCTACTGGAAAAGGTTTGAGTAGGAAGTCGGGGCTGATTTATTCAAGCTCTGAATAGAACCAGTTCAATGTCATTTTGGTCATTTTAGTTTGAAAAGAGCTGCATATCACTCCTGCAGAGAAAAAAGAAATGTCATCCCTTCACACCTCATAAGTAGGTTTCACTCCCTGACTTTAGCCCACTACTAAATTAGTAGAAGATATTCCCTTGCTTGATCAACAGTATTTTGTATAATTTTAGCCTCTTTTGATGCTATTTCTTCTTTAAGACCAAGGGTTTAAAAATGCTCCCTCTGCCATAGCTTCAGTAATAATTGGTGAGCATTTAGGAAAATGATATAGACTTGAGGTGCAGGGAGTAACCAAAAGGTAGAGTTGGCTTTCTGTTCTGTCTTTGGATCTGCAAGATACTGGTTTTATAAACAAGTTGGGTTTAGCACTGAATTCCTAGACTCAAGAACATTGATCAGGGAAAATAGAATTTACCTGAACCAAATTATTTAATTAAATTATTTTCTGATGTCTCTGAATTAATCATGATAATAACCAGTTAAATGGGCAAGGTAATAACATTTCTAAGTCTGCAATTTTTATCTATACATCTTTACCATAAATAGTACAGGTAACTCAATTTTTGTGGGTTTGAGAGTCTCCTTTGAGGAAAAGGCAACTCTGATTTATTCAAAAGGCACTTTCATTAGCTATTCTCCAAGAAAATAGGTAAAGAAAAGAAAAAGGAGACGAAACCCAACTTGCTCTGCTTTTCTATTCATCGTGAAAAAAATGGCTGAAGGGCTGGAAATTGCAAGTATTGAGCAAAATGAAGTTCTGAAATTATCTGAGGATTTTAATCAGGCATTCTACCCAGAGCTCCATTATAGATAAGGCAGTGGAACCATGCATTGAGAAATAAGCATTCTTTGTTGTTTTTTCCACTCTCTGTATGGTCTCCCTTATAAATGCTAAAATATCTAGTATGTTTCTGATAGCCTTAAAGTGTTTATCAAATGTTCAAATTACATAAAATACTAAAACGGCTAATCAGAATGTCTGTGAATTGAAGTAAAGCAGAGAATAATTACAAGATGCGGTAAACCTTATTAAGAATGTTGTATCAAGAAAAGGCAGTGGAGGGGCGCCTGGGTGGCTCAGTCGTTAAGCGTCTGCCTTCAGCTCAGGTCATGATCCCAGGGTCCCCGGATTGAGCCCTGCATTGGGCTCCCTGCTCAGCGGGAAGCCTGCTTCTCCCTCTCCCACTCCCCCTGCTTGTGTTCCCTCTCTCCTTGTGTCTCTCTCTGTCAAATAAATAAATAAAATCTTAAAAAAAAAAAAAGAAAAGGCAGTGGAGAAAAAGAATCAATATGGCTAGAATTTTACTTGGAAATAGTCCATATATTTTTACAGCGTCAAATTCAGACAAAAGCAAAGGTCGCCTGGGTGGCTCCGTTGGTTAAGCCTCTGCCTTTGCCTCAGGTCATGATCTCAGGGTCCTGGGATCAAGCCCCCCCTCGCCCCCCCCCCCATGCCCGCCCCTGTCGGGCTTCCTGCTTAGCAGGGAGTCTGCCTCTTTCTCTCTCCCTCTGCCCCTCCCCACTGCTCATTCTCTCAAATAAATAAAAAAACAAATTCAGGCAAGAGCATATGACAAGGTGAGAAAATACGGAGTTTTTGTATTTTCAGAAAAAAAATCAGGCAAACAATATCTGAGAGCCCATATGCTAATTGCCAGCTTGTTGAGCAAAGTAATCATGAATATTGAGAAGAGCCATTTGGGGGAAAATTGATGGGTTCTGGAAGATATGGAACCTTTCAAGGGAGGCAGTTGTTTCAGGCTGTGGTCTGTGAATTAATTTTCAGAAATGCAACCAGAGCTTAAACAGCTGCCCGTATCTCCTCTCTTTATGAGAAAGAAGCAAATGCAGAAACAATAAGCTCAAAGAAGAGACTCTTTCAAGAAATCAAGTTCTAGAACCACTTTTGGAGAGAATACCTATGTAGTCCTAAGTTGAGACCACTACTTTTGGGCCTCAGGATTTGGGTTTTTTTATTATTATCAAATATTTATTTCTCCATAGTATTCATAAGTAAAAATGAATTGTTTTTAATTAATTGTATAGAACAGTGGTGGAAATATGGATGATTGTTAGTTTGCTTTTTGCATTTTTTAAAATTTCTGAAACAATGTAAACATAAAGGTGATATATGAAATACATCTGTGGTCTTTGCATATCATGTAGGTAGCCATAATTTTTAAGGATCTATAAGATTTAATGAAGATAGAGAATTGTTTTTGAGTTTCATTTGTGTTGTTGATGTTGTTCTCCTATTTACTTATGACAGTGATGCTGGGAATAGCCCTGAAACTGATAATGCGGAGGGTTGTTGCCATTCCCCAAATGCCTTAAGAACCTGTGAGTACCTCAAATAAAAACTTTCATTTGTCTTCATGTCTGACTTTTAAAATGTGCATAGCATACCAATAAATGAAATACTCAACAAAGGATGGTTATGACAGTAGACAGAATGCCAAGCCCTGGGGATTGCTGGCAGAGTGGGAGGCCCATGGGCTGGTCCTCAGCCTCTCCTATTCATGACCCTTTGGAGGAGTCTACATCTTTCTCTTTACTTTGAGTCCCAATTGCCTTACCCATACAATGAACGTATATAAATAAATGACTTTCATGTTTCTTTTGGCTTATTCTAAACTGTTTAAACCTATTTAGGTGACAGGTATCACGATGTTTAAAATTACACGGAGAACACAGATTTACTTTGTTTTATGAAATAACTGTAGATTTAGAAAATACGAATAGAATGTGGATAGGAAAATAGATACAGGAATGTTCTGATTATCTCTAGCTACAGAACAAACCACCCCAAATGTAGTGGCATTAAACAATAAAAATGTATTAACATTATCTCCCACACTTCTGGAGTGACTGGCGTCAGCTAGATGCTTTTTGCTCAGCGTCCTCATGCAGCTGCAGTCAGATGGAGGCTGGGGCTGGAGTCATCCCAAAGGCTTCCTGACTCACGTGTCTGATGGATAATACCTTTTGGCTAGGACTTCAGGTGGGGCTGTTGGCCTAGACACTTACATGTGGCTTTTCATGTGGCCTAGGCTTCTTCACAGGATGACAACTCGGTTCTAAAAGCAAGTGAGCCAAGAAAGGGATGATTAGGAAGAATTGTATTACATTGTTTGCTGTAATGTCAGAAGTCACAGTGCTGCTTTCTAGCGTACTATTCATTGGGATCAAGTCACTAAGACTTCCCCTATCACCGCATTCAAGGCAGTGTTGAAGAACTTGTAGACATGTTTTAAAACCAACAGAATGATAGAAACATATATATATATAAAACATTCCTCTATTTCCAGTTCAAGTTTTCTATTACACCCTGTTACGTGAAGTATTAATATAGTTGACCAAAGAAGTTGTAAATGCTTAGATGATCGCTGTGCTATTCATATATACATATTATATATGTATATCGAGGCTAATTTTAAACACTAGTGAAGTTCCTTTTTTAAGGAATCTTTAATAGAGGGTCATAATTACACATTTTATGATATCAGGCTTGAGCTGGGGTCACCCATACTTTTATTAACAAATGCACGTGTCATCTAATTGGGTGTGCTAATGCCAGAGAAATGCACGTGCCATCTAATTTGGTGTGCTAATGCTTTAAACATTTTTTTATTTATTTTAAAACTTGAAGCACTAAGTGAAACAGCACTTATGAAATGATATGTAAACAAGCTCTGCTTCATGTTTTGGTAGCAATTAAGTCCAATTTCATCAGAGAGTTCTTCTGCTCCACACATACTCTTCACCTGGGAGTAAAAGGGACTTCAAGCCTGGAGCTCTTGTTTCTTCCCTTTGACATGCACACGCGCTACTGTGTCATCATCCTTAGCAGCAAAGAGGTGAGAACAGAATGGTGGCACATGCCTTCATCATGGGCTGGCACTGGAATGGAGTAACCCGTACAGGGGGCTTGAAGGCAGCTGCAGACTCTAGTAACGTGGACAACAGTTGCAGCCTTCTCGTTGCTAAACAAAGAGCTTATCCTCACAAATAAGCAGTTACACTAGTTGTGGGTAAGCTTTATAATGGCTGCCTTAGGAAGTCCCACGGGAGAGATCGGTGGCATGCCTAACCTTGCCGCAGCTCTGTGTGTATTCACTTTATGTAGCTGCATAACAAATTACCGAACACTGAGGGGCTTCAAACAGCACCCATTTATTATGTCATGCCATTTTCCGTGGATCAGAGGTCTGGGCATGACCTAGGTGGGTCCTCTGTTTAAGGTCTATTAAGTCTTCAGTCAAGGGACCTGCCAGTGCTGGATCCTCCTCAGAGGCTCCACTGAGGAAGGAGCTGCTTCTCAGCTCTCTCAAGTTGTTGGCAGAGTTAATTTTCTAGTGGCTCTGGCATCCATATAGCTTACTTCTTTAAAGCCAGAAAATGGGGTGCCTAGGTGGCTCAGGGGGTGCCTGGATAGCTCAGTTGGTTAAGCGTCTGCCTTCAGCTCAGGTCACGATCCCAGGGTCTTGGGATGGAGCTCCATGTGGAGCTCCCTGCTCAGCGGGGAGCCTGCTTCTCCTTCTCCCTCTGCCTCTCCCCCAGCTTGTGCTCCCTCTCTCTCTCAAATAAATAAATAAAATCTTTAAACAAAAATAAATAAATAAAGTCAGCAAAGGAGAGAGAGAGAAGGAAAGGAGGGATGGAAGAACAGAGAGAGGGAGGGAGAGAGGCAGAGAGACAGGCTTTAGAGGAAAAGTTTTATGGTATTATCCCCTTCCAGAAAGAAACTGTCATGTGTTGACCTGAGGAGGGACTTTATAACACCCAGAAGATATCCCCAAAGATATCGATTCTGTATCAATTATGTGCTATGTTAAATGAATACGCAATGAAATAATGGTAATTGGAAAGAGGTATTGTATTGACCAGGTGTCTATAGGATCATTTACATGTGAAAAATAATATAGTCAATTAAATATGTAAAGAATAGTTTGCTTAAAATTGCCATTTAGGAGGAAAAAAATGCTGTTTTATAGTAATGCTAAATCTTGTTTTTTATTTCCCCTAAAAGAGCCCAGGATTTTACTGAATTCCTGTATATGAAAATTTCTGAAAAATAGTAATGATAGTGTGACTAGTAGTAGTTTAATCAAATACTTCAGTTCCTTTTTTATATTAATTTATAATATAGCTCTAGAAAATGCTAGGGTTAATTCTCAATAGCATAGTAAGGAGGCTGACTTTATTATTTGAATTCAACTATTGGAATATTAATATTTACTTCCATAAATTTTGTCTAAATTAATCAAAATATAATTATACTTAACTTGGAATCTCAGCTTATTATAACATGCCTTTTGATTACATATATTTTGTTGCTGTCATAAAAAATCTTAAGAAAAACAGTAATCATGAAATTATATTGCTATCAACTGAGAAATAATGCCCTTAATCTAAAGTATTGCACTGAATTACAATTACTTATGTGGGCAAACACATCTATTAATTTACACATTCAATTTATTGCTAATTATATTGAAAAATGCAATTACACGCTTAAATAGATAATCAAACATCCAAGTCCACCTAGTTAGCTCCTGTTCTTATTAAATGTGTGATAACTGCTTTGCCATTAAGAACCACCTGTTGAAAACTGTAAAGTAATTAGGCCTCAATTTGATAGTTTTCCATGTGTAAAACAGAAACATTTCTACTAGCACTGCTATCAAGGAAAGGCCATTTGTTTCATTCTAGCTGTTCCATTTGAACTTTCAAATAAAAAAAAAAAATGAGATGAATTAGGTAATAGCTGCTTGAAAGCACAAACAGTTTACAAAACTTCCATCAATGTTCATAGAAAGTCTTAGCTTAGGGGAAAACCTCCAAAATCCCTAAAAATTCATACTGTCAAATGCCAGAAGTCCAACAGTCTTTCTGCTCATGTGTGGATGGGGCAGATTGAATGGGGAAACCTGGAGTAGAAACATGACCCAGTCCCTGAAGAACAGCCCTCTCTGAGAGGAGAGCTTGACAGACCCCCACACAAACACTGCAAAGTACAAAGTGATGTATTGACACAACCCCAGGGGCTGTGTAAGTAAAGATATTACTTTTGTGCCTGTGTGAACCTCTGCTTTGTGTAGTCCTAGGCTCCCAAATAAGAAACCACCCATCACTTCTAGGATCATTCGTGCGAGAGAGGCAAGGGCATCAGGCAGGGATCCTTGACATGGGGCCTGCATTAAGACTGGGTTCCATCCATTTGCAACCATTTGCTGTGGCCTAACCAGTCCTCTTTTACCAACCCATGAGCCTTCTTATGGAACCAAACTAGACTTTGTTATCTTGCAGTCCTTCATTGTCCTTTTCTGTCTACAGAACTTAGAACAAATAAAAACCAAAGTTCAGGTATTGTTGACTTGAGGAAGCCAGGATGGGAGTCAGCATCCCTGAGCAACTGATGGGAATTGGCCCAGTCCCACACTGGGGCCCGATGCACCAAAGTGAGTTTCAGCCTTGCCAAGTCAAATAAAAAGTTGGCAGAACAAGGGTGCCCACTCCCAGGTAGAAGAGCAGGCAAGGCCTTCTTACTGATTTGTGGTCTCCAACAAGTTAGTCTAAGGCTACATGTTACCAGTTGTTAATATATTGTGTCTCAGTCTGTCCGCCTCCCTTACATTTGCATGAATTAGTGGGACCACTCATCTGACTTTTTGCCCTGTCCCTCATTTCATTCTCCCTCAGCCTTTTGTGTCTTTCTGTCTGTGCTGATGCAGAGATTAAGCTGGCAGTCTCTATTATGTATATTTTTGAATATCCTATAATCAAAGTGCAACTTTTTTCAATCATAGTTAACGTGTAGACTTTAATAATACTGGTTTTTCTTTAATTTTATTGAATGTGAAGGCAAAAACATTAAATTATGCTATTCTAAAATCTTTACATTTAGGCAAAGCAATTTCAGTTTTATGAAAGTTATTTTTATAACTGGAGGGACTGAGTATCATTTGAGCGTGGTTTCTTTTATTTTCCATGATTTTTAATGGCAAGCCACATTTCACTCACCTTTTGATTTTTCATTCAGTTTGTTACACTGCATATTTTGTTGTTGCTGTTGTTTTGGTAAGGATACTCCTTCCTGTACCCCTGAGTTGTTCCCAGGGAAACAGAAGATGAAACCCCATTAGGCCCATAAACACTTTGAAACATTTATTAACCTTAAGATGCCTGCGGACAATATGGGAGCAGGTTAAGTGAACTTTAGATCAATGTGGTAAATGTTCACAACGTTACACATAGTTTGAGCCCCCTCCCTGCTGCAGGGCCTTCTCCCCCTTCACCCACTCTCCTTTCTGTGAAACCATCATCATCCTGCCATAAGCACTGCAGCCTTTTTCAAGAAAAAACATTAGAAGAAAATCTGTTAAAGAGAATTTTGTACCCAATGGTAGTTATTTATTCTTGGAGGGGGGGTCTCCTCTGGGTTTCTTATCAATGATCCTAACAGTTAGTCTGTAGAGATTCCACATGCCTCTGGGATACCAGTATTTTAGCTCCAGGGGATACCCTTTCAAATGACATATAGAATACAAGGGAACAGTAATTCCTATTTTCCCAAATCCATGTCAATTTTATGAACCTTTTTTTTAATTGAGCTATAACTGACAGATAACATTGTATAAATTTTTAGGTAACATGTTGGTTTGATACATTTATGTTAGCTAACACCTTTGTCACATCACACAGTTATCATTTCTTTGTTGTGTTGAGAACAATTAAGATCTAGTCCCTTAGGATCTTCAAAGTTTATAACATAGTATTGTTGACTATAATCACTAAGCTGTGCATTTGATATCCACAACTGATGTATCTGCTAGTTGCTAGTCTGGAACTCTCTCATTCTTGAAGGAAACTGTAGACTATGGAGAATGACTCTTGTAAGTTTTAAAACTTAATGCCCTCAAGCTATATTCTCAATAATTTCATTTTATTATTGTGTTCACTTCTCCCAGCACAGTTTGATTCACCAAAAGTATAAAGCCAGTTCTGTAGGTATATAGAGAGTGAACACAGAGAAAGGACATGAAGTCTGTACTAAGGGGATTCACATTCCGTGGAGAAGGCACGCTTGCATCAGGCTGGCCCAGTTCACACAGAAAGTTGTATTTATTTGAAGTTGGTACTCCATACAGGTGGATGAAGAAAGCTTGCTGAATGTATGGCACATTCCTAAGAATTATAAAAATGCATTCCTGCCTTCAGTGGATGCCACATTGTGCTGGGGCAACCATGCCCTCAACAAGATGCCCCTTGTAAGACATAATCTTTTCTTATGTACACGGTATCATGAAACATGTCCATTAATTCTATAACACAATCAGCCAGATTGTGGCCATGTCTAGAATAGAGGGAAAATGCATTTCTATATGATAGCAGAGGCAGGGATAATTGACTCATAAAGGAGTTTGGTTAAGAGGGTGAGTGGAAATTTGCCAGTAAAGCAGAGTTTGGGTAGCGGAGAAGTGTGCTCAAGAAGATTCTGAGAACATGAGGCAAGCAGCTAAGCATGAAATTTCACTGACACTTGAATTGCCAATTCTGAGAGAAGCTTCTTGGAAGTGACAGAAAATTGATTGGATGGATAAGGCAGACTAATAATGAGGAGGGCAGTGAAATTTTTAGTTGAATAACTTTATTATATTAAGGTAATTATTGTTATTTAAAGCAGGAAGATACTGAGCATAAGCATGACCTGATGTCATCTTTGTTTTAGAAAGCATCTCTGGAGCCAAAACAGAGAATAGATTAAGAGTTGGAGAAGGAAGCTGGAGACCAAGAGACTGGCTCAGAGACTCTTGCAGTCTATTATACTACTCCACACATCTCCATTCTCTACTGCTTTCTGCTTTTTGCATACCAATGGTAAAGACAGAGAGAAGCATGTGAGAAGTAGTGGTGAAAGAAGAGATGATGATGTTGGATTTGGGGGAAGGAGCAAGGGGACAAGAGAGAACCGCAAAGATGAATATTGATATAAAGATCAATCTTAATGACAGTTTGCATGATGTTCACACTTGAAGCAAATTTTCATTTACATGCAGAGCAAATTGATGGCAAAAAATTGAATAGAAACTGTTCTGAGAAATACAGTGATAAAGAGAGATTGTCAATATCATTGCCACAGTAACTTCTAAATTCTAGGCCAAGCTTTCTGTTATTTGACGAGATGTTTTCCTACAGTATGCCATATATTTTTATTAAGTAATTAATATTTTATGGTATTTAAATATATGTTGCTTTCTCAAAATGTCTGTGGAATAATTTCTCAGGCATGCAATTAAGACTGTGTTAGCGGCACCCGGGTGGCTCAGTCGGTTATGCAGCCGACTCTTGATTTCTGCTCACATAATGATCTCAGGGTCCTGGGATCAAGCCCTGGCATCCAGCTCCCTGCTCAGCAGGGAGTCTGCTTTAGGATTCTCTCTCTCTCTCTCTCTCTCTCTCTCTCTCTCTGCCCCTCCCTCTGCTCTCTCTCTAAAATAAATCTTAAAAAAAAAGATTGTGTTAAGAAAGTTGAACTTTTTAGTGCAAGCATACAAATCTCTTTACACATTTTCTTTTCACCCTTACCGAGTCTCCTAGAACACTCATTCTGTGAAAGATCATATTTTAAAAGAACAGTGATTATTCTTACTGGTCAGTTTCACATTATAATTATGGCAATGCCAAATAGCCACCTACAGTGATTAATGATCTCTCTCTAGTGTATGGAATTTAACATTTTAGAATTTTAGCTTAGCTCTCACATACCTGTTTAGCCATCAAAGTAATATAATATTGTTCAGCCAGTTCAAACAAATAAATTACAAAACAGCAAAATCTAGGCCCAAGATTAGAGAATAAGTAGAATTTTAAGACCTATGAAACAACATGGGGATTTTCTGTCTAAAATGCTTTTTTTTTTTTCTTTTTAAGATTAAGGATGTTTGTGTCTGGAGGTCATCCATGACATGTCCAAGGTTACCCAGCTCATTAGTAGCAGAGCTGGGGATTAAAACTTTTCTGCCAATTCATTGTTTGTGTTCCTTATTTCTGGGTCATTAACAGCTGGTCTTGTAAATTTGCGTGCAACTGTGTTATTTGACGACTGCATTTAACTAGATAAACAGGAAGAACAAAATACCTTTTGTGAGGGTTTCTTACAATGGACAATGGGCTATGGGCTTTGGCATCTTTCTGGAAAATATAATAAAAATCCAAGGAAACATCCTGACTGTAAAATATGAAATTAAGGGCAGAAAGGAAATTTAATAGACTGTTAGAATAGCTCACATTGACAAGTGTCTGTTATGTGTCAGATAATCTCATTTCCCTTGTCACGGCCTCCAGACTTGGAATGTAAGGGACTTCTCTGCTTTAATGGAGTTCTTTACTGCATTTGTATTCCTTTCCTGGTCTGATTTTATTGCAAGAAAAGTAGAGGGAAATAATTAGATGATACCACAGTTGATTTTCCTGAACAATTTTCTGACACAGGCATTTTTTTTCAATTGTTTCTTTTTAATAAAAAAAGAACACAGAAAGTGAACAAGTTAGACAAAATAATTTTTTGGGAAATGATAATATGTCATCTGTGTAAGATGTGGAATTAAATGGAGTCGAATGGAGTTTTAGTTACTGATATTTTAGTTGGCTAATCCATGGTTAGGAGGCTTTTTATAATGTATATTTAAGGGAAATATTCTGGCAAATAGCAGTTTGCTCCCTTTGTATCAACTTCCATGAGTTAGTATTCATTTCATTGAGAAGACAAGCTATAGATCAGGCACACATTTAAGAAAACATGTACTTTGGTAACCCTATACTCACCGAGTCTAATTTCTTATGAATATTATATTTTGGGTTAAACGACTGATTTTTTAGATAAAAATTAAAATGAGAAAAAGGTAAAAGTAAAATTTAATATATTGTTTTCTCTGGTCTCTGTTGAGTCTTTGTACTTCGATTATCATTGAAAATTTCATGTCATTAGTATTAATCACTCAGTTGTATTTGTAGTAAACCATGCACACACACAAAACCCATTTCAGATGGGTAGCTTGGATTTATGTTTGCAAAGTACCAGGTTGCTTAGGAAAAATTACTATATGAAAGTTTTCTATAATGTACTGTTATTACCAGAGTGCATGGAATTAAATGCTAAACAATTCAAAACATTCAACGTTTTCCATATTTCTTTTTTCAGTATGAACTGAAGGTAATTGTGAGTCATAATTAATAAAATTCTATGGAACATTATCGTAGGAGAGTAGATGACCGTTAATTTTATTGTAAACAAATCTCAAACAGGGAGGGATAGTGAAGCTATAAATAAATTGACCTCATGATCAGAAATTGATTATTCTTATATTGTTTCCAGATTAATTTTCAGTTTTTGCCATTTCACATGTTATCTAGGATATCTACAATATCTTGGAATATGTATTTTTATTATGCAATTTCCTTTTATATCATTTATGTGTGCTGCCTCTGGAATAGTCTCTCAAACATATAGTTAATATTGTTCTAAGATGGTGGGACAGTTCAAACTAGTAGAGTCCCAGCTTGGAAGCTAAGTTTGTTTCCTTTTGCTTTCCTAGTAGTTAGATGCATGCCTGTCACAAGGTCATTCTGGCAGAAGATTCTCCATTGTATGGCTTAGCCCTAAATTTGCCAATGCTCATTTTCATTGATCCTCTCAAGTCTTGGCCCTACTCCAGATTTCTTGAGTCAGACCTGCATTTTCACAATATCTTTAGGTGATTTGTATGTCACGAATGTTTGGGAAGCCCTGCTCTCAACAGATGGTCCCTCTCCATTTAGATGGATCTCTTATGTGCCTGGTAAGTGCCAGGCAAAGGGTTAGGTTCCTGATATGTGTTACCTCATTCAGTCCTTGCCACATCTTTACTATCATTGTACTTCTAAAGATGTAAGCATTTTTTTAAAAAAGACTTTATTATGAAAAATATAAAATACACTTCTAGAAATAAAACTGCAATATATCCCCCCTGTATCCTTCTCCCAACTTCAACAGTGCATGGCCAAAATTATTTCATCATTATAATGAAGCAACTCTCAATCATCACATAATTTTATCCACAAATAATTTAGTAAGCATCTCTACAACAAAAAGACCGGTTTTTAAACATAATCATGATACTGTTATTACTAAAAATATTGTAAAATTTTTTCGTAGCATCAAACAACCAGGCATTGTTTGTATTTCCCTGATTGTCTCATGACTGTCTGTACGTTTTTTCTGTCATTTCCTTTTAAGTGTCTTTGTTTGAATTGTAGAGGAGGAAGAATAGTTTTTCCTCTACCCTTCTGAATTACTGGCTGAGACTCCTGTAATAAAAGACAGATTAACATGAAAAAAACACATTTATTAACATGTATACTTCCTATATACATGAGAGGTACCCAAGGAAAAATGAGTAACTCCTCAAAGTGACTTAGAATTCAGGCTTAAATGCCATCTTAATAGGGAAAAGGGAGAAAGGGACGTTGGTCACTTAGAGGAGAGTAAATGATTTTTTAGGAAAGATGAATGGACTCAGAAGAATAGATGGGAGACATGATACTTTGTGACACAGTTTGTCAACTTCTAGTCTCTTCTGATGAGTCAGTCCTTGGTTGATGAAATCCTCAGGAAGGGAATTTATGATACATGAGTTTCTTTTGGGGGGGTCTGTCTTTAGGCAGATAAGGCAAGTTCAAAGAAAGCCTCTCCTTGCATTTGCTGTCTTTCAAGTGCCTACAAGCCTCTCCTTACATTTGCTGTCTTTCAAGTGCCTACAAGTCAAAATTATCAGTATACCAAAGCAACATATTCTGGGGTGACATTTTCTGCTTCCCTTCAGAATCAAGATCTAAATATTCATCCATTGGGATCTTATGTCTTTTGAGACTCCCTCTCTCCCCTTCCTTTTCATTTAATCTCTAGATTTCTAAAATGAACTTATTTTTTTGATCATCCTGTTTTACAGAGGCCAAAACTGAAAGTCAGAGATTGACTAAACTTGCCTGAGGCTTAGTAGCTAGTAAATGGCAGTACCAGAATTGAAACCAAGCCTTTCAACCTCTGTTAATCTTTCTCCATATCATGTTGCTGCCCTTGCGTTGACCCTACTTTAATTTTCACTCTCTTTGTTTAGTCTTTTGTATTTCTTGCCTAATTACTTATTCTAAAAGATCTGCAGTCCATCATATGCTCATTTTGAAAATCTGCATTTTAAAATATAGACGTCTGGGGACTCAGTTGTCATGCAAAAGTGATGTCACTCCTCTCCAACAATACATTACAGAATGAAGGAAAAAATATTTCTTTCTTTCTTGATTGTTTATGTGATTTAAGTTAGCAGTCTACCAAGGATATTTACAGCTACAAAGATCAGCTGCCCTCAGGGCCATCCTGGGGCCTTCTTAATCCACCACCTTGCTCTGGTTGCATACAAAGTTTCCCCCATACTGGGGGAGGGCTAGATTTCAGCCTTACCTTTCACTCCTCACTTAAGGCTTACAGTTGCTTAGCAATGCACACTGCATGGATGTTGTTATAGTGTACAGATTTTTTCTTATAGCAGAAAGATCCTAATTTTTTCTGAGCTTTTGGTATTTAATATTATTGTGTGGTTGTGTTTTAGATTGGAGAATTAATTTACGTTGTGGAAGGAAAAGGTATGATCCCCTTGCCTTCCTCCTTTCTCCCAAAGGATTCTTCAGCTCCACTTGACTACAGCACTTCGCCAGAGGAAGGTAGAGTATGTTTTGTTTCACTTAAAATGTTGAAGGATGGGGTTGTTCTTCATAGAGCCATCCAAGCATACTCCTGGCAAGTTTTTCCAATAAAAACTTGGAAGGCTTTTGGAAGGCTCCCTTTTAACTTTATTATGTCAGCATCCATGGAATACAGCCCCAGTTTAACAAGAAAATGTCAATGGTGATTTTTTTTTTAATCCTTATTTTTCATTCTTCAGATGAATATTGAAATTTGGCATGTAAAATATTTACTCAGCAAATTTTCAGTTGCCCAGATAATTTGGAAATGGTTCTACTCTCAAATTCTATATATTGTAATATATTAACTGAACTTGTACCCTGAACTTGTACCCTCATTCTGAAGTGTAAGGTTGTTAGTGAAAGAAAATGACAGCTCTTACCAGCACCTGACACATGTCTTTACATTTATTTTTACCTCCCTTACCTTCTAATCGCTGATAGCACAATGATCACTTAATGTTTGAACATGTTGATATGTCTGTGAAAGAACCCTTTGAGTTCTTTTGAGCATTCTTTGAGCATTCTTCTTAGAGAATACCAGCAAAATCACTTTAATTCCTGAAGACTTACTCTTGAATTACTGAACTAGGGCTACTGGAAATGAGTTACCCATGTTACTCTGGTTAACGAAGGCCACAACTGCAGTTTTCTGTTTCAAACCTTCCAAGTGCATTCTGGATAAGGTTGTCGAGGGCATAAATGATCCTGGCAGTCATGAATCTTTTTGCTTCCCCTAGTGTTGAGTAAGGAAAATCCAGTTCTGTATTTGAAATGTGAGCTCCATCAAACCTTGGATGTGGACCTTAAGTTGCCACTGACTAATGAAGCCAAGGAAAAGGCCTTGGCCTTGGCGGCCCAGCAGCAGATGTCGGATGTAGAGTATGAGCGACGGTCGATCACGGGCACTCTGGAGAGCAGCAGTGTTCGTGTGGCCATCGCCCTCCTGGGGCTGACCAAGATTGAGGTGAGAATGCAGGACACATGACTCACTGAAATGATTGTCGTTGTAGAACCATGCAGAGTTGTCACTTGATCGTAACCTTTTTACATGGAAAAATGACGAATGCTGGTTTTCCTCAGGAAGACAGCTCAGTCGCTTTTCTTCTTTCTACCTCATTAAAAAGTCTGAAGCAAAGCGTTCTCCTAATGTTAGCAGGACTGCTAATTTTAGTAGTGGAACTAAATTAGTGGTAACTTAGCATGCTAGCACATTTAGGCATTACAGTGTAGCCGCTGAATTCACGGTTGCCTCCACTTCTGACTACACGTTAGAATGCCCTGGAGAACTTAAAATAATAGTAGTACCCAGACCCCGTTCTAAAATAATTAAATACAAATCTCTGCTAGGGGGCGGGGAGGGACATGTTCTAAAAGTTGTCCAGGATATTCTTTGCATCCAAAGAGGCTCGTCCCCGGGGTCAGACTACCAGGCTGAGCATCCAGACCCTGACACTCTCTACCTGTGTGACTGTGGGCTGGTTACTTCAAAATCCTCAATCTTCAATTTTTATATTTTTATTTTTTATTTTATTTATTTTTTTTTTTTTTAAGATTTTTTTATTCATTTATCTGAGAGAGAGAATGGGAGACAGAGAGCATGAGATGGGGAGGATCAGAGGGAGAAGCAGACTCCCCGCTGAGCAGGGAGTCCGATGCAGGACTCGATCCCGAGACTCCAGGATCATGACCTGAGCCGAAGGCAGTTGCTTAACCAACTGAGCCACCCAGGCACCCTAATTTTTATATTTTTAATCTGAAGATACTGGTAATTGATGGAAGCTAAGTGAGATAATTACTTAAAATGCTTACCACTTTACCTGGTATATAAATAAGTGCTCTCTATATGTGCAGCATTATTGTTCTTGTTATTACTATGGACTCTATTATTATATCTTGAACTCTATTGTATAAATGAAGTAAGGTACAGTCTAGCCTCCAGAGAGCCACCAAAGCGCTTCTTTTAAAATGGAAACCTGGTCACATTGCTCCCCTGCACAGATTCCTCTGTTGGCTTTTCAGCTCATTCGGAATAAAACCCAACATCCTTAGGACGGTCCTCATCCTTAGGACGGTCCTCCCCGCCCCCCCACCCTGCCCCGGTCAGTCCCATCTCTTCCCTGATCTTACCTTCTCCACTGAAGCCCATTCATTCATGTCACTCCTTCAGCACAGGCCTCCTTGCTCATCTAAAAATCCCAATGCATGCTCGCCATGCCCTGTGCACTTCTGTGGTTAATTTTCCCTAGATATTAGACGCTACTTCCCTCAATTACTTCAGACCTGCTAGAATGCTACCAATGAGGTTATGCTTATATTTTTTGTATCTTCTTAAAAATCTTATGTACTTTTTAAAAAGCATTGTTTACCTCTACCAGGCACTTTCCGAATCCTAAATTTCCTTCAACTTTCTCTATAGATAGCATTTATCACCTGAGAGGAATATATTTGTTTGCTTACTCATTGTCTGTCTCCAGCAAGGGAATTTGTGAGGAGATATTTGTTTAGTTAACTCTCATATCACCAGTGCCTAGAAAAGTGTGCTGTGCCAAAGGTAGTCACTAAGTCTTTGATCAGTGTAGGAACAAATGGTAAATGTTTTCATCCTTGTGTGAGATTTACCTTCATATATTACCTTACATAGATTACAACAAATACTCAGCATTGTAGGGATGATTTCTTTTTTTGTTAGAATGCTAGAATCAGTACAGTCTATGCACAGATCCCTAACATTTAATGATGATATTTTATGGATGACCTGGACTTTAAGTTCTGATTAGTTCAAAAATATCAAGGCCCAAGGCTCTGATGCCCTCTGGACTGACCCATCTACACTATGCATTCAAGAAGCTGAGGGCTGTCTTTAGCTCATACCAACAGGCTTACTTCTATGATGGAGCAATGAATTTGGGAAGGTTTTTGTTCAACTTTGAGTATAGTATTACAATAGAAATGTTTGATATGTGGCTTTTTCAAACTTTAACCCTATCATAGTGCACTCTCTCTCTCTCTTTACTTTTAAATTTATTTTCTTCAGGGGCACTTGGGCAGCTCAGTTGGTTAAACATCAGATGCTGGAGTCCAGCTCCAGCCTGGGTGGGCCTCTCGTAGGAAAGGACAGCGTCGGCGAATGAGGAGACACAGACACAGGGTCAGGTTGCAAGCATCTCCTCCTGACAGCCTCGGAGGAACTTTATTTATTTGTTAGGATATTTTTGTTTTTCCAAATCTTAGATCATTCTCTGGATTACAGCCATAGCCTTCTTTCATTTTTCCTTTGTAATGATTAACATGACCTTTATTGATTTCTGCTTATTGGTTTTTGCTAAAACTAAAAAACAGTACGCAAAGAGAAAGGTGCTAGACAGAACGTGACCGTCTTGTTATTTTGTTCTATAGAAACTAATTCTTTGTGGAATTAGTTTCATTATGATTGCTTAGATAGGCGTAACTAAGGTGAGTAGTCACTTTATCATGAAACCCCAGAAATATTCCCACAATTATAAAGATTGCCATAAATAAAATGAAAAAGAATAGCAGGAGCCAGCCCAGAAATATTCCCACAATTATAAAGATTGCCATAAACAAAATGAAAGAGAATAGCAGGAGCCAGCTGTGGAGTCTCCTGTTTTCAGGATCATCCTCCATACTTGGACTTAGTCAAACAGCATGAGTAGCTTGGCTCGCGCCAGTCAGACTCTTGATTTCGGCTCAGGTCATGATCTCAGGGTCGTGGGATCGAGCCCCCGTCGGGTCCCATGCTCAGTGGGGAATCAGCTTGAGATTCTCTCTTTCCCTCTCCCTTTGCCCCTCCCCCCTGCTCTCTCTCTCTCTCAAATAAATAAATATTAAAAAAATTAAAAATTTATCTTCTTCATTCTTACCTCTTATCAAAACATTTTATTTAAATGAGAAATGCTGGAGGGAGATGGATTTTGTCAATGGATCCACTTTCTATTATTTATGCATATATACATATACATATATACATATATACATTTCTGTTTTTCTCACTCTTCTTTTAACTGTCTCCAAAACCCAGCACACTCTTTGTGTTTATTATTGTATCTACCCAATTATGTTTTGTATAGTATTTATTTTTATATTTCCCTGTTCCTCTAGAATTGTGAATGCCTAGAAATGGAAAATCTTTGTCGTGTGTTTTTTAGCCCTTATTGTCTTGTGTGTGACAGGTGCTCTGTCACTGTTTTAATTGAATTGAACATGTGCCCGAACAAATAATACTTTAAACCTGAGGTCTTCATGTCTATCCAGCTTGCCTCATAGCCTGATTTTTCACAGTCACAGTCGTCTTGTTTACTTATCCTTGTTTACCTCCCACATTTACAGGATGGGTATCTGTATGTGTGTACTTCTCGATTGGTTGGTGGAAATAACAGCAACAAAAACAATTATCATCATCATAATTTATGAAAAAAAACCTTGTCCTCTTTAAAATTAAAATTGAAATGTTTTAAATAGTCTCTAAATTTAGAAATTGTAAGTATTTTTACCTGAAGATTATTATTTTCTTTGAATTCTGTGACTATCACACATTTTTCGATTTCAGCAAAAACTTTCCAAATGCACAAAATAACTGTAGAAGGGTTGAATGTGCTAGTTTAGGAAAACCAGCTGCAGCAAATCAGAACTCACAGATGCATCTTATTGTGCTCATATACATCTATCATAAAGGGCTCTTTTCAAGTGGCAATTATCAATGCATTCTTGAAATCCAATAATGATATTTTTTGCAGAATAGTAAACAAGATTAATTTTAAAAGTACTCTCTCCCTGTATAGTATTTTACACCATTTGTCCAATATGCTTTTATGTGCATTTTTCCAGATTATTTCAATGACCCCATGGAGAAATGTAGAGAATGTAGAATTACACTTGTAATACAAAAAATGAAATGACTGAGGCATAAAAAGACTTATGTTGCCCTTAACAATAGGGTAGCAATTACAGCCCAGATCATGGTAGAGACATCATTGTCTTTTAAAGCTGAGACAAGAAATCAAAGACACTCAAAGACACATAGGCCAACCTCTTACACTTACAGACCTGCAAACCAAGACCCCAAAATAGTAAGATGGTAGCCTAGGATCACACCACTGATTTGTGACAGAAAAGTTATGGACACAGGTTTTTGCCCCCCCCATCCATTACTCTTTTCCTTCCCCTGCATAGTCTCCAGATCATATGTTCACTTCTTCATCTACTACCATGAAATTGTATAATGGAATAAATGAAAGTCTAGAATGCTCAGTTATAGTGTAAAATAACTACATAAAAAAATCTAAAATCATCCTTGAGATAAATCTGTTTAGAACTAAATCTATTTGAATAAATGTAATCACTTTTCTACCAAAGAAAAGTGACACATCTGACTAATTATGTGGTGGTTTGTTTTTTTTTTTTTGGTACACAACCGTGTGGAATTTGAATTTTTGAAATATTTATAGAGTAATAGCAACATGATGTATCTACTTTATACTGTGAGAGACAGGATCTTTTTTCAAGAGCATGAGTTTCTGACACTTCACCATTTAGCACTCATTTATTGAATTCATATTCTTCTGACCATTAATAAATCAACTCTAACGATATACTCAGTGATACTGGAAAGATTCAGAACTTCAGGGTAGTTTCCTTCTATTTTCTATTAGCTTTTCCAGTTTATGTTTTAAAAGCCATGCTATATACTCTGGGATAAGTGGTAGAAAAATCATTGAAATTTTGAAATTTAATATGTTTAAAAAAGGAAGCCTAAAAGATCTCCTTTGTGAGGATTCAGAAGGGTAAAGAAAATGTTTTTTGTATTTGTATAGCTTAAGTGCACTCTAAATCATGAAGTAATCCTACTGATACTGTCAAAGATAAACAAAGCTGGATACTAGTTACAGCCGTAAGGATAGACTTTATTCAGTAACTGTTGCAACGGGGAGAAGGATCCAGCATGAACTAAACTGAAATTTGTACAGGAGGAACTGGGAGTTTTAAAAGGAGGATGAGAAAGTAAGGAGGGATAATGAGCTGGGAACTTAATAATAATGAGCAGAATCTGGGAAGTGGACATTTTTAAGTAGGAGGGGGTTGGTCAGTGTGATCTGGATTTGTTAATTGATCCTTATCTGCAGGAGAAACAAACTTCTGTGATCTTTATGACGGGAGGTAGTGATGCAAGATAGAACAAGGTACCTACCTGGCTGGGATCATTATCTCCTTGAATGTTTGCATTCTAAGGTCCTTGAGAAGACAGTTCTGGGTCGCAGAAAACTTACATCTTAAAAAGGAGAGAGAAAGAGGAGGAGGGTGCAGTGAGTGGGGGTGGAAGAAAGAAAGGAAAGGAGAGAAAGGATTTATAATAGCAAGCTTTCTAAAGTAACTGCTCTAATAAGAGGGGGTTTAGGGGCCTATCTTCCTGTCACTGGGTTTTGGCTGGAACAAACAGTATATTCTCTTGGCAGCATTGAGCTCTCTCAGGTAGGCACTTTAAGGGGAACTGGGATCATCCTAGGGATATGGCCTTGAGCTGTTAGAAACTAAGTCAGCATTTGTTCAAGTCTCTTAGAGTGTGTGTATATATGTGTGTGCATGTGTGTGAAGGGGGTAGACAAAATCATTTGTGCTGAAAATCTGCAGTTATTGTAGGCCAAGGTTGAGGCCTACTTGAGACGAGGGGTTGGAGGAGCCTGATTAGAGTTTGGCCAAGAAGAGGGTCTATGTCAATATATCATGACTTAATGACTTGAAGGTATAGAAGGCAGATGATATACATTTAGGTTAAAGAGCTGGTTGTTGATGTGAATAGATAATTTGTTCATAGTGACTAGAAAAATGAACCAAATACAAGCAATGATAAATGTAAATGAATTAATTTAAGTTTTTTAATTTACATGATTTTAATTACCAAAATAAAGTAGTTGAAAAATGTTACTTTGTGGAAAAAAAATACTTGTGGATTTTGTAGATAACAAACCCAGTGAGTGAGAAAATTGCTAATGGCACTAACATTTATTTTTGTTGAGTAATGATACTATGACCACAATCAAGATGATGATGATGACAATGGTGATCCTAATAGCCAACATTTATCAAAATATGCTCCAAGGACCTGGATTTTGTTTTCCCTTTAAAAATTCACACCTTGGATAGGCAGTGTGTACTATTATTGCCCATATTTTGCAAATGAAGACTTTGTAGCTTTGTTTAATAGACTGGCCAAGCTTCCTTAGAGTTGGTTATAAATGCAGGCAGTCTGCCTTCAAGAGTGCTTGGTCCAACCATTGGGCTGTACTATGTGGTTAGCGATAGAGCATCCAGATAAAAATAAATGATTGCCTACCTCTGTGCTTTGCATTGCTTGGTTCACACTTAGAGAACTGGCTTTCTCTTCAGCGTTCCATTTTAGGAAGGACAATATTGAACTAGATTGTGTCTTGAGGAGCATTTGCATGATGATGAGTTGTTGTAACCCACAGTATGTAAGTAGCGGTTGAAGGGACTAAACATATCAAACCTATTTAAAAGGTATATTTGGGATAGGGGGGAGGAAGAAAAGAAATTAACAAAAAAATAAAAGGTATGTTTGGATGTCTGTGGAACGGCAGGACCTAATTTTATACATCTACATATGTACACACACACATATGCACACATATATTTACAAAATTGTCACTAGGAAAAGAGAGGGGACTAACTGTGCTTCTGATAAGAACTAGAACTGATGGGTTAGATGTTAAGGAACACGGGGATCAACTGAAGGAGGGAAGCACTTTCTCAATGCTATTCACCAGTGGAATTGGCTTTTCCCTGAAGCAATGAATTCCTCAACATTGAAAGGATTAGAGAATGGGACACTGAGCATCTGTTAATAAAGGATGATTCCACAGATTCTGTAAAACATGTTAGTGCTATCTTCCACCAATCAAATAATAATGTGTCTAAAGAAATGAACAGGGGCGCCTGGGTGGCTCAGTCGTTAAGCGTCTGCCTTCGGCTCAGGTCACGATCCCAGGGTCCTGGGATCGAGCCCCGCATCGGGCTCCCTGCTCAGCGGGAAGCCTGCTTCTCCTTCTCCCACTCCCTCTGCTTGTGTTCCCTCTCTTGCTGTCTCTCTCTATCAAATAAATAAATAAAATCTTAAAAAAAAAAAAAGAAAGAAATGAACAAATTCAATCCTTTGGTGGATTTTTTTCCCAAATGTGGTCTCTAAATACATGATGCTTTTGTGTGTGTGTTTTGGAGGTAAAGGCTAAGAGAATTACATTCCAATTTTACTCTGTTTATTTGCAGACTTGTATGCTCTTTAATACCTCAAAGCTAAAGAAGCCTAAGTCCATTTTATACACAGCAGAACTGAGCCTTCCAGAACATTTTGATATCCCCAAGAAAATCTACATTCCTCAGATTCCAGAAACTCAAGCTAAACTGACCCAGTCTCAAGGAATTAAACCTGCAAATAAAACAGGTAACACATGGACTGCAATATCTCGCTCTGTCCCAGGCTCTGTGAAATACTAAAATTTTAAAGAGATTATCTCTACTAATAGGATGTTTATAATACAATTAAAGAGAGAGTTCAGGGTACATAAATATCAATTATTGGATATTTTGCATTATAAATAACCAACATACTACAGCATAATAATCTAAACTATGTACTAAATTTAAGTGCTAAGTTGCTGGTACTGAAATTTGCGAACCTGTTATTACTCCTTCTTAAAGAGTAGTTGATAAAGACAGTAAGTGCTCTTTGAGAAAGTTAAGGTCTTGCTGTGACTGTGAAATTGGTTACAGAAGCTGTGCTGGAGTTGAAGCTCAGGCTAACTTTAAAGGATAGGAGGGTTGTTGGTGGCAAGATCATATCAGAGGAGACAGTGTGTTATTTATGAGTGATTTATCTTTGATCTGGACTAGGGCCTTTAATAGTTGAATATTTACTCCTGGTCTCCTGGTACCCTTTTATTCTGTGATTGTAATTAGGAAGGACTAACCCAGATTTAATAGAATATTAATAAATACACATTATCAAATATGAGCAATAGGATGTAAACAATGTGACAAAATAATTTAAAGTATCCAAAATTAATTTGTTTTCATTTCACTTCTTTCCAAGCTGGTAGATAACATTAGGGTTATAATTTCTTTACTAGGGCTATTCCCACAATGTATCATAACTCAAGTGTCATGGATCCTACTTTTTATTGTTGCTAATTTATGTTTTGTTACATTTTCCTTTGTTCTTTTCCTAAGGCTTTGTTTTAACTATATAATGTTTCTAAATCAGAAACAGTGGTTACAAATGATAAGGTTATAGGATAATCTGTTCATTTTACCCTCCTAGGAGATCTGAGATCCCAGATTCAAATTCTAAGTGGCCAAGCATGTAACAAGGATTAATGAATTAGCTCTGGTCTAAGGCAAGAAGGATAATGGAGCCTAGAACAAACTGGAGAGTAGGCGTCCTATCTAAACATTCAAAATCAAAACAATAAAAAGAAGAAGCTTAAGTCCACCCAACAGCTGTGAGGGTATATTTAACTCATCAGCCATCAGGCTGGTGACAGTTCTTAAGTGAAGTTGTTGTCTTTCTTTTTTTTTAATCTTTGTTACCTACAGCTTTTCAATGTACTATTAAATTTTTAAATGAAGATTTTATTATGATAATTTTTTAACCCCTTTGAGATAACTGGATAAAGTTGTGTGTATTATAAGCCCAACTAGGATTCCCAGTCCAAACAATTCACTTATTGAGCCATTCACTCAACACTCTTGAGCATCAATTCCTTTGGGCAAAACAATGAAAATTGGCATCTTAAGATGCTGTTTAATTATAAATAAGTATAAAGTTATCTGTATTGAAAAGCCTTTCACTGAGATAATTTTCAAAGGCTAATATTTTTCTTTTGTATCAGTTGTGAGCTATCCATTTCAGTAAGAAGATTATAGTGAGAATTAAGAAAAATAGAGCTATAAATTTTAAAAGATCATGCACGAAAGTTTTAAAATACAGTTTGCATATCATGGCTCCTGTCTAACTTGATTTTTTATGCAGTTGACTTTATTGAAGAAGCTTGCAGCCCAGGTTTCTGTTTCCACTTCCTTCAGCATACATTTAAAAGGATTAAGTTTACAAAAACAGAATATTCTAATTCAGGATCATAGCGGGTCAAATAAAATACATAGCCTCAACAGTGCAGTGTACATTCTATTGTTAAGCAGTGGACTTCATTAATGAAAAAGGAACATATGCTTTTTAAGTTTAATAAATAACATTCTATTGGAATTTGAGACCAAGAATTGTAGAGTTAAGCATTTAAGAAACTTATCTTTGTGGGGGAAAAAAAGCTTACCTTTGTGATATAAGCCACTCTGAAGAGAACCAACAAATTCCTAGCATTCAATACAGTAATATAGAAAGAAATCTTGGGTTGTTTTTTTTTTAAGATTTTATTTTTTTAAGTAATCGCCATTCCCAGTGTGGGGCTCAAACTCACAACTCCGAGATCACGAGTCACATGCTCTACCAACTGAGCCAGCCAGGTACTCCTAAATCTTTTTTTTCTTTTCTTTTCTTTTCTTTTTTCTTTTCTTTTCTTTTCTCTTTTCTTTTCCTTTCTTTTCTTTTCCTTTCTTTTCTTTTCTTTTCTTTCCTTTTTTCTATAGGTGGCATGGAGAAAGAAATGACAAGTATTTATCTGGAGAAGTAGAGATAGCCCAGTGTTCCTGCTAATTTCAGGAAAGGGGTGGAGGTGGGTCATTTTTATAATCTCTTGAAGTTCTAATGTCATCAGAAGGCACTAGTTTTGAGGTATTGAGAAGTGGCCGTCTTCTGCCCATTCATATTAATGCTGCCGATCAGTCTTTACCTTTTTGAAATTCCTAATGAAACTTCCACATTTCTGGTTAACAATAGCTATTATTGTAATTACTTAAAATAATCGACTTAAATCCGTATTTATTTTAGCTCCATGATTTAGGAAGGTATTATTTTTCCCATCCCACCTTTTAACCTTATAATGCTTTCAACTGAAGGAGATGGAGCTGTAGAGAAAGTGCGTGTGCACACAAGTAGATGCATCCATCTCCACAGACGCCATGGATGTACACACATGACAACATTTTCCCATGGGAAAGACATTACTTGTCCCACCTCATAAGTCTCAAAGATCCTGTGACTCCTTTGTTGTTAGTGGACTGGAGTAGGTCTAATATTTTTTGAGCACCAACAATATGCAAAGCACTGTGACAGTTGGTTTTATAGTTTTTCTCATTTAATTCTCCAAATAGATACTCTGTCTCAGATCCCATCTGGGCATCTTGCTTATCCATGGACTCTTGCATGACCTTTCCACACAGTTTCTGGCCTTCTCAAGCATCCTCTTTACTCCAGTTTTTTCCCATCTCCAACCTCCACTGGACAAATGACTTTGTCACCTCTGTCACGGAGGAAAGGGGGCTACATGAGCACACACTCTTCCTTAACCCCCTTATCACCTCCCCCTCAATCTCCAAATAATAGGAATCTACTCTATCAACCTTGCTGTGTGCATCTTTTAACTTATGCCAGATAACCTGTTCTTGGGCTCTTCCATCATTTATCAGAGCTCCTTCTTCTTTGAGAGTAGTTCCTTCACTTTTGGCTCTCAAACTTTCTCAAGCTTCAAAAACTAAAGACATTCATACCTTTCCCGTGACAAACATACTTCTGAGTAGGGCTATCTTCATTTGTAGTTTCTATTCTTGCATGACTAGTTCTCAACCTCTCAAATCTGGCTTTTGCTCTACCACTATAGTAAAATGACTAGTTGCTTTCTAATTGCCAAATCCAATGGGCCATTCTCAGTCTTCATCTTATTGGATCTCTATTGCATATGACCTGGATGATTAGGCATCTACTCAGAATTCTAGATATTTGAGATAAGGCTATATATCCTTATTCCCTGCATTTCTTCTCCATCCCCTTGATAAGATTTCTTCTTAATCGTTTCGTGAGTTATTCTGTTTACTCCAACAATATGGTAATCTTCAAGGTTCTACTTGTCTTACTGGGGCTATTATTACTTTTTTTTTTTTTTTTTTAAGATTTTATTTATTTATTTGAGACAGAGAGAATGAGAGACAGAGAGCATGAGAGGGAGGAGGGTCAGAGGGAGAGGCAGACTCCCCGCCGAGCAGGGAGCCCGATGCGGGACTCGATCCCGGGACTCCAGGATCACGACCCGAGCCGAAGGCAGTCGCTTAACCAACTGAGCCACCCAGGCGCCCCTATTATTACTTTTAATGTATCCTATAGGAGATTCTGTACACTCCTATAGTTAAAACTACCATTAACATCCCTAATGTTTATCTTTATTCCCACCCTTTTCCTTCTATTTTCAACTTATTCAGAGGCATTTGACATGCCTACCTATATATGTGTGTGTGTGTGTGTGTATGCAAATAGATACACAAATAGAGAGATTTATCCCTCAGATTCAAAATGAATGTATTATTATTATTCTCCATTGATTTGTTCCTTAGCATATAATCTTTATCTTTTCATATGGTGGGACATATATCCACCCTGTCTCTTATATTAGAAATCTGGGCATACTGCTTGAAGCTTCTCTCTTTTGAGCTCATACCTACAATTCATCTTGTAGTTTTAAATTTTCTGTAATTTATTTCCTTTTCTTCTCTACTCCCACTGTTAATGATTCAGGTCTTCATCAGTACCTCACAAATGGAAAAAGTAATCACATCTATTTCTTCTCAATGAGGTGCAGATTTAATGAGATGACATATGTTAAGAATTTAAATGCTATATGATATACCTAATAAATGTTGGCTATTAATTATACTCTAGTCTTGTCTCCCTTAAAGTACTTCACCTCTAGGCACTAGAACTATTAAATCTGACCATGAGATATTACTGAGACATTTAGTGATTTCAGAGGCAGATTTACTATACTACCAAAGACATAAATTTTATGATTTTTCACTTTTTTGACCCCCCCTTCTTAGTCTCTATCTAGTTTTATATTTGCGATTTTATGTTCTTTCTCTTGAAGAAGGTCCCTATATTTTAAAAGCCTCAGGCCTCATAAAACCTAGACTTTTACCTGGTTGTAGGTCTTGACTTAAACTCTCATCTACTTGTGGCTCTGGGGATGTTGAAATTTATGGACAGGAAGAGTTTTATGGACCTTAAAAGGGTATAGGTAAACAGGAAATCTCCAGTGGATCCAGGAACACTTATTACCTCCCTAATATAGAGGGTCCTGTGTGTTTTGTGCCCTCCGTGAAAAATATGTACAAGAACACTCAAACAAAATGCTCTAGGCTGGTTTTGCTGATCACTTACACAGAGCTCAAAACCTTCATTTCTAAGGTTATCTCTTCAGTTTCTAGTATTTTACATTGACCCAATTTCTTGTTCTCTCTCAAGGGATAT